TCTGCCGAACCGCAAACTCATGCCCAAGTACCCTGTCGAATCAAAGCCTATTATTCCTTTTGCAGCCTTAATCTCTCGCTACAGAGCAGTTACCAGTACCAGTGTCTGCCGTCCTGTCCGCTCTAGTCATGCCCTATTTGACGAGGGCTTGATCCCTTGCTGTTTGGCATCCGTAGGAACCCCTCCATTGGATCCATGCATTGAGTGAAGACCTTGGGCTGCTCTTGCTCCCGGTCACCCATCCTCCTTCCCCTTCCCGGGGAAGGACCGGTGCAGGATGTCTTCACCATGTCCCGGGGACCACCAGGAAACAGCATTTAATGCCACGGCACCGTCTGATGCGGACGGGCTGCCGTCAGCCCTCACCGTGTCAGGGCGGGTGGGAGCCGTACCCTCCTCCCAAGCCCATCACATCCCACCTAACGAAGGTGTGTAAGGAGAAGGCGGCCGAGCCGCAAGGTTGGGTCTTACCTGGGTTTGCCCGTGACCGAGCGGCTGGAGAGAGGCCGGTTTGCAGCCAGGGTTCCCCCACCCTGCTCCGGGCAGCGGTGCCTGGGGGACACGCGGGTCCAACCTCCGTTTGGGAGCTCGCGTGTTTTCCCTTGTAGCAGGTGTTGGGTTCTTCAATGGGGGCAAGCAAAAGCTGCGAAGGCCAAAATTTTCAGCCATGTCCATCGCCTCTGGGCACCACTGGCCCCGGGGGTGGTTTCGGATGCTGGGAGGAGGTGCAAGTGCTTGTTTTGCCGTAACCCTAAATTCCAGCCTTTCCCCCTGGGGGTCCTCGGGGAGGTTCTCACACCCCTGACCCATCAGGAGGACACAGGCAGAGCGGTACCATCCCGTTCCCACCACCGGTGAGACACACAGCCCCCCCACGCCTGACTGTCCTCCGTGGGGGACACACCCTGGGGGGGCCCAATGCATGCTACAGACGGAGAATAAATACCTCAAATCTTCCAGACCGACTCTATAAGATCTCAGTCCCTCCACAAATTCACTCCGCACAGTTATGACCGCTCGGTACGAGGCCCAGCACGCCAGCATCCTCCACACGGCAGAGAAATCACACCCCAAATGACATGGGATGTTGTAAATCCAGCTTGTAAATGATCTTCACTTCATTTTGTTTGGTCTTTCTGATGTATATCTTGCTTTTTTTGCAGATGGTACTTTCTGGTGTAAAAATTCTCTGCAGTTCTGGTATGAAATTGGTGTATTTGTTAAAAAAAGTTTGTTCTATTAATTTTTTTTTTTTTTTTGTGGTTTCCAAAAGCCCATTGGTGCATTGTACAATGGGATCTTGTAGTGTGTCACGAGAAAGAAAAAAATATGCAGATATGTTATGGAGTGATTTTTATTTTCAGATGATTGTGTTGTTGACAACTATATATATTATATATATATTATCAAGATACTAAGAAAAAAACCCTAAATTTACCAAAATCTGTATATTTTAATAAATGCATAAAGCTTTATTGTGTGCCTTTACATTTAAAAATCAAACAGGAACTAATGGATTTTTAAAGAAAGCCAGAGACAAATGTGTCTTAGTATCGGTTCCCATAGTAATGTAAATCTTTTAAATGAAAGACTAAACCAAAAAATAAAAATAAAAAAATTACCCATATAAATTTTGTTAAGCCAATCAGTACCTGAAGGTCTGATATTTTTTCAATGCTAAACTGAAGCTAGAGATGAACAAGTCTTGCCTTAAGTGCTTCTAAATTCCTTTGTAGAAGATCCATTTCAGTAGGCTGACTTTGGTATTTACTTGCACTCTTGTGAAAAATAAAAATGGTTATCAGTTTACACAATAATAGAAAAACAAAACAAAACAAAAAAAAACCCTAAAGCAAATGACCGCAGGTTGACTATTGCAGTGCGAAGCCCCGGGGAGTGCCAACGTCTTCCCGTCTGCTCGTGGTGCTGCCAGCACCCACCTTAACTGGGGTGTCACAGCACCATCACCCCCCTGTACTGGTGTCCCCACCATGGGCTCTGTCCTCTTATTTGGGGAATGGGGAGGCTGCCAGGTGCCCTCCCCGTGATGGGGAGCTATAGCTGGTCCTGGTGGAGCTGGGGAGGGCTCCACTGGGGCATCGGGGACCACCACCTTCACATTGGGGTGACCACCGGAGCTCACACCCACCACTCCACAGATCATATTAGGCACGGCGTGGAGCAGTTTTTCCATTCAGGAGAATTATGTTTGACTCTATTTTCAGGCTTCAGGTCAGCAAATGAGCACCAAAAGCCTTCAAGAGCCAACAGCGCTGCAGCCAGACCAGCCTGGAAGAACCCCACAGGGGAGCAGGGTGTTTTGGGAGGGCACAAAGCAGGTATTTCAGCTTTGATCCTTTAAAAAAACTAGAAAAGTTTAATGTTCTTTGTGCTTCTTCCAAACCCTTCCCCTCTGCAATGCCAGCACTAATATCCTGTCCCATACTTGGCCCCATGTCCTCGCATCCCACGGTTGCAGATGTCCGGTTTCCCTGCGACTGCTCCGGACTTGTTTTGCTTTGTTTGGATTTTTCTTCCCTTCCCCAAAATAAAGCTTCTTCCTTCCTCCGAGCAGCTTGCCCAGGGCCTTTTAAGCCTCGGATTTGGGATCAGCTGCCAATAACCTGTAACCGTGGGCAGGGTGAGCAGAACCCCAGCACCAGCTTCTGCTGAGGCTCCCCAGCCCCACGTGCCTGAAGATGTCAAGTTGCAGCCCAATGGTGTGGGCAGCAAAAAACCCCATAAGCTCGTTCCTCGTCGGTCACGCACTGCTACCCGAGCCCCTCTGGCAACACCAACACCTTGCCAAAAAACACCCTCGAGCATCTCAGAGAGTTTTTCCCGTGCTTTTCCCTCCCGGTTCACTCCAGGGCCGTTTGCGGGGCAGCGTTCCAGCAGCTTTCTGCTCTGAGATCTCCCACGCCTCCATCGGTCCCCGGGGTTAACCGGCCGAGCCGTCGGCTGGGTTGAAGCCACGGGCAGCGGCGTACAATCCACAATCCCCCCGTGGTCAGCCTGCACAAGCTGGCACGTCTGTGCGCCGTCCCTTCGCCCGTGGCACCCGCACATCAATGGCAGCACTTATAGCATCTCTCCGGCGCGTACAACAACTGCCTGTGCCCTGCCTCTGATGTAATGGGCACCAGTGTCCTGCTGCCGGCCCCCCGCGCCGCTGCTCGCCTCGGGTACATTGTATAGGACGGCAGCGATGCGGAGTTGACACCTTCAAGACTGCTCGGTCTTAAAGGCAGACGCTAGAGCTGCTGCCTAGCTCTTGTCCGTGCGGGCAAAGGGTGGTTGTGGAGCACAGGAGTCCTCCTCTTGACTCCTTTTAAATGCTCTGGCCTCAGTTTCCCACGGGAAGGAGGCGAGGGGTGGGAGGTACAGCGCCCTCGCCCGTGGCTGCGTCGCCCAGTTTGGCTTCTCCAACTGAAAGTAGACCGAGAGGAAAGGACAGTCCCTGATCCACCAAGGCTTGACGAGCAGCCTTGTTTTCAAATTCCTCTCCCTCACCCCAAACAATCTGGCTGGTCCTCTCCTCTGCTTGCTCAATCCCCTCTCTTCCCACAACCAACACCTGGGCTCTTCCCTGCATTCATTCCTGAAGAGCAGCTATTCCTCTTCTCCTGCTCCTGAAGCCTGACTCACACAAATTATTTGAACTGAGTTAACATCTCCGGGAACAGATGGGGTTTTGTATCAACGTAATTAAATTGCTACAGGCTCTGGTAAGGACAGAGATAGATCGTGATCTTACACAGTTTTAATCAGAGCGATGACCCCAGATCAGACTCTTATTTTAGTTGAAAGCACTTCCAGCAGCATGACTTCTCAACTTCAGCACACCCAAGCAGTGCTGGGGGTAAATCTCCACCGCCTCAGTAGGTTTCTAAGTCTCCCCAATATGAAAAGTACCACAAGTCGGTACCACTGGTGCAAGCTGCTATCGGAAACGTTGAAAGAACAAATGGATTAGACAGCGGTCAGTACCCTGTAGGAAGATAGCTCATATTTTAAATATTCCCCCAAAAAACAAAAGGCCCACTTAATTCCACAGCACAGCACAAGCTCTCATCCTGAACTGCTATAAAAAAAAAATAATAATCTTCAAAATCATTGGGAAATCCCTGTCATGGAAAAGCTAGCTATGGAAACACACAGGAAGGAAGGAAAAAAAGAAGCCAGTGGTTGCAGGTACTCTGTTATTTATTGTACAGTATTTCACTGAAAGTACAAAGGCATCATCAGTATTCACCAGAATTGTATTGTAACAGGTACATTATACTGTGTGTTAAAACGTGCTACTTTAATGAGGCGAGACAGAACACAAATTTAGAGGAAGAAAGCAAGGAGTTTAAAAAAATGTAAAAATACATTTTTAGTAACTGATCTGTACAAAGGAACAAAAGAAACCAAACCAGAGTGTGGGGATTAGAGCCCCCAAAGTCATTTAAAACTATATAAAAAGACACTGTTATTTACCACGTCATTAGGACCTTTGGGTTCTGTTTCCTTCATACTGATGACTGGGGGAGGGCGGAGGAAATATTGTTACTAAAATGATCAAACTCATACAAAAGTATTTACAGAGAAAGGCAGAAAAAAATTCCCCTACTCTTGTTCCAAAAGAGAAACATTTGCCCGGTTGGAGAGTACAGCCTTCCTCCCTACCCTCTCGCCCAAACCGTGCCAAGGCAGGGACCTTGAGCAGGGGAAAGCAAACAGTGATGTGGTGGGAGGAGCTGCCAGAGTCCTTCGAACAACGGGAAAGTGTCTCTCTCATTTCTGTTTTGTTGCTTTAAACTCTCCTATAATCAGGGGAGCTGGAAAATAAAACCAAATCCCTAAAACCCACACGACAACCCCAAACCATCCGAGTCATCCTGGCTGCAAGAAGATGGGGCGGGTGGTCAGGACAAAATGGGGAGGACCAGGAGGTAGGGCTGGCTGGAGCTTTCTTTTCGAGAGAAAGGGGGGGAACAGATGGGGACAATAACGCTTCAAACTACCAGACATTTGTGCTGCTTTTCTAAACCTTCCCCCGGGAGCCTGACAGCAGTGTGTGTCAGTAGAAGCAAACCCAGGGCACACAAACCCACCAGCCAAAGCATCCGACTGCAGCCGTGGGACATCCCCAGGACGCTTACACGTGAGCGCTCTTCGCGTGGGTAGGGGAGCTGGAGCCCGAGGCGTAGTAGAAACGGTTTTCACCAAACGTCTGGGCATCACCCGAGCAGCAGACGATGACGCAGCCGCCGAAAAGGCAGAGGGCAGAGCCGATCCAGCCCGTGTACAGGGAGTAGCCGAAGCTCATAATGGTGGTCTCGCGGTGGGCGCACACGGGAAACCAGATCGTCGCAACGACGCCGCACATGGCTGGGGAAAGATGGAAAGGAAAGGTGACTCCAGCACGTAACCCCACCGCGGGGACAAAAAGCACGCCAAAGGGGAGGGAAGGCTCTGCGGGACGGGGGACGGAGAGCGAGCCCGTCCCTCTTCCCTCGCAGTCCTACGGTGGGACCCAGGAGCATCCGCGTCGGGGCTCGGTCCGGGAGATCCCCGAGCAGGAGGCAGCGCCTCTGAGACAGCCGTCTCTCTCGGGCACCGCCAAACGAGAAGAAAAAAACAACCGCTGCTTGACGCCGATAGATTTATGACAAAGGAAACAGATTTGTTCCCTAGAAATATCTTTAAGGGCGAAGAACGGAAGTCATCCCTGGAATCAACGCTCTGGAGAGCTGCGGAATTAGGAATAGATTAGATATGAAGCAAGACCGCGAAAGCCGTATGCATCGGTGAGACAGGAAAATCGGAGGCCCAGAGTCAACTGGTTTAAATCGCTATTTCTGCATGAACTCACGTGCTACATCCTCAGCCCATGTCAATCAGCATCTCTGCAGTTGCTCTACTGAATGGTCACATAAACATTAACGAAGTATCCCAGCACTTAGCAAGACGGAACAGGGTTTATAAAATACAAGCAGAAAACGGGCAGGAACAAAATAAGCAGCAGTACAGCATTGTTAGGGGTTTTTTTTTTAAGAGAAGGAAATGTCTCACAACTCTTGAAAGCAGATTCCACTTCCCTGTGGAAAATTTCTCTAATCAAGGGATGGGGACAAAGCCAGCAAAGCTCTCTAGAAACCTAATTAATTGAATAGAAATGGAACCTCATCTGAAAGGAAAAGAGTATTTTACCTAGAGTCTACAGTGGGTCAAAAAATGACTGCAGACTTCAAATTTTGCTTGAAATTCCATAGGCTTTTTTCCCACGAAAAGCAGGAAGGCTGCCGCGGTGGCGCTGCGAGGACTGCCGGGCAGGTGACATGCGGAGTAGATACCCTCAGGACAGTAAAGCGGGTACAAATTCAGCGTTTTGCAGGCAGCCAGGCTAGGGACCAGAGTGTTTTGGTGTGCAGCACACACGCGTGGTTTGCCCCAAGCGGGGAGAAAACACGTGCCCTGCGTTCTCCTTGTGCTACACAAGGTCACACTCGCTACCCTCGCTAAGGGCCCTACCTCCACCCTGCAAAATCCCCCACATGCACCGAGGGCAACAGGAGTTGATGGTGTTAATCACCTCACAGGAGCAGGTCCTAAAACAATACTTCTTTATGGCCCCTACATCTGAGAGGAATTAATCTGTCAATATTTACTTGCCTCCGGGACAAGCTGTGCAGGACTCCATCCTTGTGGCTATCAGGGAATCAGAGCAAAACAATAACAGGACCGTGGCAGCGTTACAGATTTCCACCGACTGCGTTAAAAGGTATCTGGAGGCAGTGTCAAAAAGTTAAGGTTGCAAGAGGGAAAAAAAAAGGGGGTGAGATTAAAAATAAAATTGTTTAGTTAAAGCAGAGAACAAACCATAGCTCCTGGCCGGTACAGCAGAAAACCCATCCCCAATAGCTGCAGTTATTGTGAGAGAAAATATTTTCTTATGGAAAAGAGAAGAACATTTGAAGGATGCTAATAAAGCCAGTAATAATTTGGGGCCTCCTCAAAGCAAGGGCCCCGCAGCTTTGGAAGGAATTTTTGGAGAAGGCAGGGAGGGCAGAACAGCATTTCTCCTGCGTGGGGATCAGTCCTGCAAAGAGCTCGTGAGCCTCTAAAGCTTTAAAAAAAAAAATGTATCAGTTGGGAATCCACAAAGCATTCTAATGGGCCCCAGAAAAAAAGCTTCTTTGTTGTCCAAAAAGACACAATCATCTTTTCTTTTTCTGTCAGCAGTAAATACATATATATATATATATATATTTATGTCCATGGACTATAAGAGCCTTATCTACCCAGACCCTCCCCCACAACACAGGACCGAAGAAAACACTTGCACTGGGGTGAGAAGAGCTCTCAGGGACGCTAACACAATGGCATCTCTTGTGCGTGTGGCTCAACGACATGTAAAACCACCTTATTTTAATGCTGACAATACTAGAAAGATGTGAAACACAGGCCAAGGACTTTGCGCGGGTTAGTTTGACCTCTCTGTCTTCGGGGGCTACCAGCTGCCGTCAGTCACCAGTGACCCTGTCGCTCAGCAAGAGGAACTCCCTGAAACAGGACTGAATTTCATAGCTCTGCGTAGATTAGATCGGGTTGTAAATCCTCCGAGAAGATGTGAAAAGGATGGTCTGCAATTGCAATACTTCTTGGTGAACTCAAATTTTGTTCTAGCTGTATCATACTGAAAGGCTAGGAAAAAAACTGATTTGCTGAGAAACCCAAAGGGATTGGAAAAGGCATTTTAGGGCAAGTTTCAAGGACTAAAATAGCTGCCTACAAGGAAGAACTCTTCGAATAGAAATTATTACCCTTTCTCTTTTGTGCTGATTCTGAGACACTCTTTGTCTCTCCCTAAATACAAATGTCTTCAGATAGCAGAGCTGCTGTAGTCAATATAATCTAGCAGAAAAGTAAAATAAAGTCTGCAAACAGAAAGAATTTTTTCTATTAGACCAACTAAGTTAGATGGAGAAACAGGCGTGTGTTGGGGCACACACATACTGGAAAGCTTGCCTGCTTTTTGCAGCTAGAGTAGGCAATCCTGCAAAAGTCATCTCGGTAATACTTGGTATGGTTGTCCTTGCTCCGTCAGATCGCTGTAAATCCATAGGGACACATCCCAGGCTCCCAGCATCTCTAAGTCCATTTTGACTATGGACTTGCAGTAGCTCAATCCGCTGAGCTGAAACTCATTACAGGCATAAGTTAATTCTGCATTATTCTCCATTACAGGCATAATTTAATCAGATAGATAGAAGTACACATAGACAAGAAGCACAGGAGGTGCTTGGGGAGGTGGGGGAGATAGAAGAGAATTATTGTAACTCAAGGGACAGTGAGTCCCTGCCAAACTCCTTAACAGTAAGTTAAAGGCTTTCTGCAGAAGAAAGAATACTTTTCTTTCACAGCTAAATTTAATTATGACTCAAAGTCACACAGATTTCTCTTTCAAAGCATTTGCTTGAAATAATAGATATCCACAATTATTTTTTTTTCTCTGTTCAAGGCAATCTTTTTATCTTGATATCTATGGTTTTACAAGTAAATCTCAGGCAGTGTCCAGAAAACCTTACTAATATCTTTTATTTAGTATACAATACCTAATACGGTCATTTTGCAGTAGTAATTCCCAATAACTAACTTATTTTTCATCTGTGTTTTCCCGTGGCTCAGGTCCCTCACCTCCATTAGGAAAATGCCTGCTTGGTTACCGGCAAGGGGTCCCCCGAATTAGTATCAACAACACGGGATGGGCCAGGGTTTTTCCATCAACACCAGCATATGAAATGTTTTCATACTGGCTCAGAGCAGACCTCTGCTGACGGTTGTTTTCGGCAATTAATCAATTTGCTCGGACAGATAGGATCAAGCAAAGACATAAATACATCAGCAGGCAGGATAGGAGGGTGTGCACGCAGGTTGCACTCTGCAGCCTGCTATTATCAGTGGACAGAAAAATCAATGGAATCTCTGAGCCCATTGTTTTCCTGGCAAATTTTCAACTTTTTCTTTTTTCTTTTTTTTTTGGCTCCGCACTGTGTTTCAACCCCTGTTTTCCTTTTTAATAAATTTCAGTGACAAACGGCCATCCCTTCCCCGAGCAAGAAGTGAAGTTTGCCATGGGGCCAGCTCCCCTGACCACATCTCCACTCTCTATTTCTGCTATGTTAGTGAGTGTTTTGGGGGTTGTTTTCTTTTAACCAGTGCTCTGGGAGTTGGTCTCCACTTAGAGGAAAAGGCCGGAACCCGTGCGGTTGGGGAAAACCACGAACAAGACTTCAGTGGCCAGATGGTAAATAAGAACAGTCCAGGGCATATTACTTCTAGAATGTAATGAATTTTAAGTCAGTACTATGACTTTTGAGCCCTGATTCATGCTTATTAAATGCTCTGGAACAGTAACACCTCATTTTGCAAATAATGGATCATTAATCATCTTAAAGAATGTCAAAGTCCCAAGTTCTGTACATTATTCTCCTTCCAAAGGGACTGTCTTACTGATCAGCCTGGAAAAAATTGGGTTTTGTAAAAATAAATGTGGGTTGGCTTTTTTTTTTTTTTTTTTTTTTTTTTTTTCAAAAAAAACCCCCAAACTTAAGAGCAAAAGGAGCTGATTTATTCTTCATTTGTGATCTGACAAAAAGAGCATTATTGTAATTGTGACTAAAACATTGTGACCAGGCTGCTGTTCCCAGCCCAGATCATTCAGGACATCACCAACATGAGCAAACCTCTTTCACCTGCAGATACTTCAAAACTCACAGGGGTAAAAACCAGTAAGAAGTCCAAATCTGACCCAAAGAGCATTCGTCTGCCAATGTCCCTGTAAATACACATTTCCTTTCTTCACAGGATCTACTTAGTGGGAAAACCATGTTCTGAGGTGGAGAGGAGCCTGGCTTTTGGACCACCACAACTCATCTCCTCCACCCTCTAACATCTATTCTCCTCCCTGGCGTCACACCGCAGCAAGACCAGGATGGGAGAGGGGCATGCTAGACCCAAACCCTGGTGCAACACTGCAAGATATGGGATTTCGCTTATTCTAATGCAGCGCTACCCAGTACTGTCACTGCAATTTGTTTGCTGCCTGCGTGCTGAGCCCTGCAATCCTGTTGCCCTTTGGGATTTAGGGGCAATACTCTTGCCTCCGTGTCTGCAGCCATGCAAACAGGGTTGATCTACAGCACGGTTCTCCTTCACTGCGACCGAAAACTCGTGTTTGTTTGCCACAAAGTGCAGCTCTGCTGGGCCTCCACCATCCTGGGCAGGGGCAATCCAGCAGAGCAGATTCCTCTGGCACCAATATTTCATTCACAGGCAGGAAAAAACCCCACTTTTTCTTTCATTTTGCCAAGCCCAAATATGTGACTCAAGGTTTCAGGAGAGGGACGAAGGCCACGTTCCGACAGCTCTTTAACGTGGCTGTTCATGATCAGGATGTCCTGAACGGGCCCTATAAAGCTGATTTTAGGACTTCCAGCTTTGGCAATGTGCCCTTAAACTCCGCAGACATTGAAAGGGCCCCTCGGTCTCATGAGATTTCGGACGTAGCGACTCGTACTATCTGCTCCTCACCGAGGCACTGGAGGAGGGGCCGCTTGCAAGGAAGGAGCGTCCAGAGGACAGCCCCTCCGAGCGTGCAGCTACATCCAGTGCCCACTTGAAAAAAACATAAGGAGAAGAAGAAGATGGGCATGATGTCAGCGCGGGCTGCCAGCGACCGGCAGAGCCACACAAAGAGGCCACTTTCCCTCACCCCTCCTCCTCTGCCGCACAGACGGGTAAAAACAAGGCACGGCAGCCTGTTGCTGAGATGACGAGGCTTCAAGAACATGCAGGTGTTGGACTGGGGACAATGAGCTCCACAGTCTGCGCTGCTCAAAACAATCTCCTCCGCAGGCACTGGGGACGGGAAGAAATTCCCAGGGGAACTTGGAGGCCAAGGGCAAGGCTGGCCAGAGGGGGTTGGGAGGCACAGGGGACATGCCAGCCCTCTTCCCAGGTCCATGCCACCTCCTTGCTCCCTGCCCTGTTGTCCCCACAGGACCAGCACCCCCTCAGCCACGGGCTTCTCTTCCCACAGCCCTCAGCTTACTTTGATCCGGCTGCATCCGCGATGCCCAGGGAAAATTCGGAGGCTACCTGTTCCCTCTAAGTTTAGACCCTTTTCTAAAAATAGCATCGCTTCCACAGCAAACCAGCAAAACCGGTGCCCGCAGGCTATCGCCTTCCCGCAGACACAGGCGGTGGTCATGCCCACGGACTCCACAAGTCAATGCAAAGTAGGGTTTCGCAGCCCTCCCCTCTTCACCCTGCTTCACTCCCTGCCTCCTGTCTTTGTCCTCCCACTCCTGTTCGTGCCTTTTGTTCACCCCCACAGACCGCAGCGATGCTGGAGATCGTCAGGATCAGCCCAGCCTCAACAACCGTCCTTTCAGGTGAAGGTGTTCAACCACCTTGCACCGTGCCATCCCGGAGCAGAAGAAGAGCTCCAGCTCTCCACACGCGGCGGGCGCCTTACCCAGGAGGATGATGAGGATCCCTCCCAGTTGGGAACGTCGGTACTTGGCAGCTCCAGGCTCATGGCCCATCCGGATGCAGGGCAAGACCGTTATCAGCAAGAAGATAGCGGGAAGACCCAGGACGGAGGCAGCGATCATCAGTGCTCGACACGCTTGGACATACCCTGTTGGCAAGGCAAGGAAAGAGGATTTTGATTATTTGGCATGAGAGAAGACGACCTTTGGACAAAGGCTCCTGTTTGATTAGCTCCCAAGACTTGTGCGGAGTACGGGAGAGAGGTTCAATCCTTTGTGTAAACAGTTAAGACAGCGAGACTGCAGCGCAGTGATTAGTGAGCATGGGATGTGCAGGCTCAGAATTTTCCAACAGACAAGTAGCACTGCCTGGAAAACATGAGCTCTTCCCAGCAAAACAGTGAGAAATCATGGACTTAGGAAATATGGGAAGGGAAAGTAGGAGAAACAGCTAGGAAGGGGTTTTCCTGTATCTTTTCATAGAGGGAGCTTTGATTAAATATCAGGAATTTGAAGTCTTAAGGAGCAGCTTGCTGTGAGCAGAGGAGGTCCACAGTCATCCAGAGGAGGGCTGAAGAGTTGAAGACCCGTTACTGAAACAGGCAGGTCCGTGAGATACTACCACCGGCTGCCCTGAGGACTGTTGGCCCGGGAGGAGGAGGGATGCTCAGCAATCCCAGCCACGTCCGGACGCTGCACCTCAGGAGTCCAGCGGGGTTTTGGAGGAGCCCTGTGGCTCAAGCTGACCGCTGGTACAGCTCTTGGAGAGAAGAAATGACTGCACTTTGCAGAGCTGCTTGAGTTGCCATAACCAAGGGCCACGTTATTCCTCTGGGTCCCTATGGACATCACGGGGTTCCCTGCCATTTCATCAGTTACCACCCCCCTCCTGCCTGGCCCTGTGCAGCAGCAGCCGAACACACGGCAGTGAGGAAGAACAGGGGCCAGGGACTGTGGGCGTACTGGGCAGGGCCGTGACATTTCTACCACTCTGTGAGGGTCTCTTTATAATAATGTATCTTTTAAAATATATTTTTATATATTATGTATATATAATTTTTAATATATATCAATATAAAATTTATATATAAATAAAACCAGGTCATTATTTGCATGCAAAAGAAAAAGAACAAGTGTCAGATTTGCCCCAGTGCCTGGTGAGCCTTCACCAGCTCTCGGGACAGTCTCAGCAAACCGAGTATGCTGGCTCTCTTTCCCCTCTTATTAACAAAACGAAGCTGCCACATGCAGAGATGGAGTTTCGTGATGCCTCAAACAATACCAGCAAACAGGGGCCTTAAGCAAGTCCCGCTGACATACGGGTAAAACACCAGGAATGAGGATTTTACTGTTCCTGGGAATGCAGACTCTGCGTATATTGAATATTTGCTTGATTTTTTCAAGGGGAAACTTAACAAACAAAGTTACCTGAGGAGTTCAGAGCAAAAGATGAGACCCTAAACAAAGGAGATGGCAGTGCCCAGTGTGGTTTCTGTGCAGTCGATCCCAATTAAACAAGAATACAAACACATTCATTTTAAAGACTTGACTGAGGCAATGTAAGACTCTAAATACATTTCATCTATTGGGCACACCAGGACAAATTTCCCTCTGATGGAAAGCTATTGGTATCAAATAGGTTACAAACAGAAGCATTTGTTTGTGATTTGTTTCTGCTGGAGAGAAGCATTGCTTTCTGCTGCTGAAAGACCTTTCATTCAATAATGTTTCTTCAGGACAGGCCTTTTCTGTGTCTCCTGTGCCAGATCATATTGAACAATGTTAGCAGTAAGGAATGTAAACCTACTAAAATAAAAGTATACACACACAGAGAAAGGGAGAATAGGAGCTAGTCTGAGAGATTCAACATTGCTAAGCACTATGTGATACAGACTATGCTCTGTAACAGACACAAATTCGGGAATAATCTTTTCAACCTCTTGTGAAATTACTTTCACAACAGCTTAAACAAATAAATAAGGGAACTTGAAAGAAAACTACATGGAATGGTTATTTCTAGCCTGTCAGCTCTCGAAGAGGCCTCTCTGACGTGCTAGAGGAGGTGCAATCTAAACCATAGCAGAATGAAGAAGCGCTACAGAGTTAAGAGTGATTGAAACAGGTAAGATCATTAGCTAAACTTACAAGGACAAGACCACACAAGACTTTGGCAGGTTGAATTAGCTGAAAAGATGTATTAATACTGATTAAACACCTTGCTTAATTTTTGCTTTGCAGTAAACTAGGTGAAAATTACTATATCATTAGAAAACATCAAGACAAGTTAAACATCATTTCATCTGTTTGCTGTGTAAAAGTTCTGTCTTCCCTTACAACATGCAGGAAACACAAGACCATCAAGACTAATGATGATCTTCCAAAGATTAAAAGCCATAGAAGCATTAATAATAGACGCTGAAAGATTCATTATACTCAAAACCATTTTAAGGAATAGAACCTTAACATTTGTAATAGTTCATCATCCTCTCAAAGCAAAAGTCGAAATACTCTATCATACCTCAATATACTATATACGCTTTGCAACGCAGTCTAGATGCAAGATGTGAAAGGAACGGTGAGCGTTTACTAAGAGCAATGATTAAACATTAACTGGACTTTAATAGCCCCAGATAACGCGTGATACCTGGGTACAATTAAAACCAGGTATAATTTAATGAGAATCACGTTAAGAGCTACCATTCACATTCTTTAGCATATTCAATGGACCATCTCCCGCTCTGACGAAGTTGAAGGAGCTTCACCATCGATTCCTCCGGCAGCAGGACCGGCGCTGCTCGGAGGAAGGCTTCCCTCCTCACCTCCGGGTGGGAAGGGGGAGGCCGGGACACACGTACCTGGCAGTATGAGGATGTCCACCAGGGGTTTGCAGTGATAGAGACCTGTCGCCATGACACAGTCTGCCCACAGCCCCTTGGATCCCAGCTCGTCCATTTTCCTGCAGGTGGTAATGGTGTAGCCGCAAGTCACCACCCAGTCGTTGGTGGCCGTCGCCACAACCACCCCGATCCACCCGATGAAACTGCAGACAAATCCGGCCAGGTGAAGGCAAGTGGCCACCATCTCGATCCCTTGGAGGGGACAAGCCGGACAGGAGAGCGCCCGCGGGGGTTCGGCAAAGCCGGCCGCCCAGCTCCCGGCTGCCGGGATCTACTGGGAGCGGGAGGGAACGGGGTTTTGGTAGGATGAGGTCCCTGAGCAGACACTGCTGCAGATGCTCGGCTGCCTCTGCCCAGCTCCGTCCCTGGGAGGGGTTAGAGCTGCCTCCAGCCCCATAACGTGTGGGAGGAGCGAGCGGGGAGCCCCAACTTCTGCCGGTTCATCGAGGGAGTCGGAGGGGAAGGATCGTGCAGAGAGGAGGAGATGCAGGATTATGCCCACCCCTGCTTGAAAAACAAACCAGGCTGCTTTATTCAAATGCAGACAGCCTGACTATTCAAAATGTAGCATCAAGGGAGGAGAATCAAGGCAGTGTTTTCGAGCTGAAGACGGACGGTCACGCTGGTACCTCTTCTGGAAAGATAGGGCAAGAAACGTGGTGGACAGAGTTACTCCAGAGGTGGAATCCATCGTCTCACCAAAGCCATCAGCACGGCTGCAGTAAAAGGACAAAATCAGTCTTGGGTCTTTCCTGATGTTTTCAGTAACTGCAAAACCGTAAGAGATCCATCACTGCATTCTCTGCTTGCACCTGGGTTTTCAGAAGTATTAACTAACACTCAATGAGTCTTGAATATGTGTTTAACAGCACCTTATTTCCACTTTTGAATGCTAAAATTAAAATGAGCAGCTTTTTTCTCAGACTGATTATGGGTGTAAATTTTAGTCTACTTGACAGAACAAGGAACAGCCCACTTCAAAATGTCAAAAGAAGAGAAACTTCACAGCCCGTTCTGCATCCCGAGAAACAGGCAGGCAGGATATTTTCCTAACTTTGCTTTGTATTTTCACAAACACACACACACACACATATATATATATATATGTTATCGGGTGCCAACACATGCCTAATGAAATTTTATCGTTGTGCGTCCTCCAGTGCTTCGGATTTTGCAAAGGCGAAGTTTGGATCTAAGCAGATAAAACATGCCTGGAGAGACCACTAGTGGAAAGCTGTCCACATTGCATGACCGGGGCGGGGGGGGGCGGAACTGGACAAGAAAATGACAGAACAATCAATTTGATTCATTCCCAGAGCTGTTAGTGACAAGGAATTATTGGAAGCTACACTCCAGGATTAAGGTGCCAGGAATGAAATACATCCTGCTCTTCAACCAACGGTATTTTTTCCCATTCTTTAGCAAATAAAGTGAAAAACAGGAACAAGAACATCCTAAGCTTCATTTGTCATGTTCCTTAGATTCAAAATTCAAGGACACGAGGCTTTCCTCCATCTAACTTTATAGCATTCCGTAAATTAAACACCTGATCTGCTTGTATCAAGTATAAATGGACATAGCTTAATACTGCTTTTTGATTAATACCAGGCGTAAGGATACTTAACCACTTCGGGATGACTGATCCCAAGCTCCAACATCTAACGGTGCTGTCACCACACAGTCCTTTGGAGGCTAAACCCCATGCATATTCTCTAAATCACGCTAACACTTAGATTTCTAATGTACTACAAAGTATTTCATTTTTCTTCAAAATACCAGAAAAGTTTCCAACACCTTGATATCCCATTTCACCCCAAAGCTGGGATTAGAAGCGTTTTACATGGTGATAGGGCAGGTGCATCCTAATGCACAAATTCCAACATTTTTTAAAGTTTATGGACATGAATTCGCAGGCTGTGGACACATCCTCCTGTAATTCAGTCTCCTATAGTTACGGTTTCTTTAACCACAAAAGTTTCTTACACTGCCACGGCTTCCTTCACAAATGTATTGGTCAGAGTGTGCAGCAGCTCAACAGGCAAGAAATAAATTTTACACTTCAGTAACTAGAACTACTCAACAGTACTCAACCTGGTGCCCACAGGGCACAGTTTGAATTATTTCATTAATGTCGATAGAGACAGGAAACGTTTACTATTTTGTCAGTGTTATAAATAACACCACCAATATTTAAGTTAGTAAGTTAGTGTGCTACAAGTGGACAATGATTCACAGGATAATAAAAAACAAAGAGTAACTTCCCAGCTATAAGCTAAATAAACTGATACACTTACGGCAATATTCTTAAAATTTGCCATTTTTAAAGCAAGTGCTACACATGCATTTATTTCAGCAACAGTGTGAACACCTTAAAAAATCAATCTTTTTACCCTGTCACTCAAGCAGTTTTTCTTTGATCAGCATTTTTTTCCTGACAAATGACACGCGTTGCAATTAGTCATACTTACACAAGCTATCAACACCCTATGACTTTTTTTCATGCAAATGACTCACCTTGCATTTTTTCTTTGCAGGGTTTTCAGCCCAATAGCTTCTCCCTTGCTTAGAAATACAGCTGTATAAAGATACAACATGGGATGCAGAAATAAACGGGGTTAATTCTTTAAGTGGTACAGCCAGTTGTTCATTTTCTTCCATACTAAAGGCTGAGCTCATCAAAATATTACCAATTTCATCTTCATCCTGGTTAATACCGCTCATTTCTCTCTCCAGCTGTGAAATACAGGCAAGTTCATGGTAGCATTAAGGGTTTGCAATAATCTGAAACACAATCAGGATTTCCTATATGCAAGACCAGTACCTTAAAACAAGGACAAAGCATTTTTGCTCTGATCTGAGGGGAAGGAAAAATATCAGAGTATGTGTATGTGACCACGCTTGCTTACCTGTCAAAAAAACCCCCAAACCCTTAGTATGAATAAAATCACCCAGAAAATCTCCGAAATATTATAGTACAAGTTATATTCTTTTACTACAGTCTGGATTTTTTTAAGTGACCAACAGAATATAGCCTACCATTGTAAGTGAAGGAGGCTCAACCTAAATGGCAGACCCATTCCTATACAGCTTACAGGAACAGCTCCCTCTTTTCTTCTTGCCTCCTTACTCTGTCTTCTGAATTTTCTGCTGTTTAAGCTCCCTGATGGTAGACAAAAACGTTAAGCAACATAATCACATGATTTACATGATTTACTGCCAAATACACAAGTGGTTTTATTTACACATATAAATACCGAATTTATGTCAAGATACATAGAAATCCTACTGTCAGTATCTTCACAGAGCCGTAAGAGCTTTAGCAAATGGACTCATGGTGAGGGAGGGCTGTTGTTCTTGTAGATTTTGCTAAAAATTACCTTTAGAAAACAGGGGACCTGCTGCAGGCAGTGGGTGTTGTACTAAGTTTCAGGGTAATCAGGGCTTAATTTACTGTAATCAAAGCAAGGAAGACTCTGTCCTCCTTAGAAAAGCACCACTGTTAATCACCTTCCAAAAAGTCAAGTTTAGAAATCAGTATTCAAAAATATTACGAAGGCAAGTGTTCTGACATTACAGTTCTTTATTTGTTTTTGAATCCACATCTATACAGGTATTTACAAGGCATGAAAATGGATAACAGCACAAAATACAATTGAGGTATAAGCTAAGAGCACAGTATGTCATGTTTCAATAAATATAATTCAAAATTTGTAAACTAAGTGACCAGATAGATGCATCTTGTTTACTAAAACCATATAAAATATCTGTTAAATCTCACGTGAGGTAGAGGACAGTTTTGTGTGTCATGTAATGCAACCACAGCAATTCTAAAACAGTAAAACTGTACATCATTGGCAAAGTATTAAAAATTGTTGAATGCACTGATCGTTTTTCACAGGATTTTACTATGGTTTCAGAATAGTCATTCAACCTGTTGCCTTGAGCTAACAGACTCCGTTGTTTTGCAGCTACTTTCTGTAATTTGAGATAATTATACTGGCATGTCAACATCAATAAATATTTTTGAGAGTGAGTACGAAAACGCAGAACAGATTTTGTCAATCACAGAAAGCAACATAATGGCAACAAAATATTTTAGACCAACTTTTTATTATTTCCTAGAATTAGTTTAAATACAGTACAGCTGTGCTTTCCTTTAAGTGAGGTATCTATATTCAAAGAAAAAGAATTCAATTGACATTGTTACATTTAATCGATTTTCAAATAGCAAAATTTTATACCATTTGTTTGCTGTGCTTGATGAAGTGCTTAAAACTCATTTTTCAAGCATTTTCCAACTGAACCACTAACCCTGAAAAAAACAATTTTCTAAGTAATGGAGACACACTACAAAATTGTCGTGCAATTTGTAAGCAGTAACTGCTTTCACAAAAGCTAAAAAATGGATGTCTTTTTGAAATAGAAATATGCAACAAACTTCTACATGCTTTCTGTAATGAAAACTGATGAATACTCACACTACAGACGTAATGAGCAAAAGGAAAATTGAAATTCGCAGCTTTCTGCTGCTTACTATTGACAGCTTAAATAAAATAACAAATATTGCAAGCACAGATTAACAGGTAGGCGTAATTATGTCTTTTGTCAACTTCACGTTATAGAAAACTCTGTTGTGTGGATTAATTACATGAATTAAGTGCAGAAAAAATACAAAGTTGTTATCTTTACTGACAATCAAAATATATACTCTACAAACAAGTGAATTCTAGGAAGCTGACCATGACAGCATTTCAAGGCCAACTTCACGACTAATGCTAGGAAAGTTTTCCAAAAATTTCATAACACATTCTAGCTATCCCCTCCCCCAATATAAAACAAGAATGTATGAATAAAACATTGTGACTTCTAAAATATGGGCCAAGACTTATTTTTTCAGGCCACCAGTAGCTTTATGCTCCCACTCAACTTTTCCTACTTCACTAATTGCATTACGCCTTTACTATATACAAATGATTTTACACCTAAGCTATCAATATATTAAATATAGAATAAAATTAGTTTAAGAATGTGAAACATAACTACATTTATCTAACTACTCAAACTAAACGATATGCTTTACAAAAACTAAGACACAGACTTAGTTAAGTTTGGAGATTTAGTTAAAATCTCTTTCGTCTAGGGATACGTGGCTACACTGCGAACCAGGGTGCCTTCAGACTGCCAAAATTACAAGAGTTTTACTCTCTAAGCTCTTATATTTTCTTGATTAAAGTACAAAAAGCATGTGAAAGTTCTCTTTTAAAAAAGCATAGGAGCAAACTAGATACTC